GGCGGGCACAATGGAGACACAAGCCTTGTTAACGGGTGTTTCTGGCGCCGGAGCCTCGCCACACAATGGTAGCACACCAACACCGACCCAACCTTCATGTGCAATCAGTGGGGCAGCTTGGGTCCAGCGCCAGTTGGAAAATACACCTGAATGGTTGGGACCCGAAGCGAGGGAACGTGGAACTGACGCTCTGGCACGGGTCATTGCCTGTAACAGAAAAATATCATTCGGATAGTTGGTGAAAAACCATAAGGAGATCAGTGATATCTCGTTCACACCAGAAAGTGAATTCGTGAAGTTATCATAGGAGAATCGAAATAAGCAGAAGTGCTCCGTAAAAGAGACTTTGATAACAAATGTGAAAGCAAAACAGTAGACGAATTAGACAAAACATCATCATCGAACAGCAAAACACACTGAAGTGAACTTCACTGATCTCTGCCGAGCTATCTGACAATGAAAGATGGGAATGTCTACGGAGGGATCACTGAATGTATTCATTTAAAAAATCAATTAAACCAATAGGTGTCTACATCCATTCACTGAAATGCTTCCAAGACTCGAAACAAGCGTACAACTGGAACTGTACAAACAAACGTAATAAAAGTATTAGGGATTGAAATAAATGGCACAAGATGTCAAAGTAAAGAAGGAACTTACGATTTGGGTCTAAATTTTATCGGAGATGCAATAGTGAACCATTCAACTAAAGTTTGTGAGGATAAACGTTGAAATTGGCGTTAGTGAAATGGATAAATGTTGTACCACGGATCAGCACAAGGGTATAACAAGATAGCAAGCGCATACGATGTTAGACAGACAGAGAAAACAACAGTCAGGTTTCCGAGACAAAACCGAACACTACACCAAGACGCACCTCAAGACAACTGATGGTCGGTTCCGGTGAGGTGGCGGCGTTAGTCGAAGTGGAATGCGTGGAAACTGATGAACCTTCCTCGTCCGAGCTAACCGATCGGCTAGACAACTCCGGTTGTGCGTTTGGTTGGCTTGCATTCGGAGTGATCTGGCGTAAACTACAACTCATGTGTTCCCCGTGTGCAGTGGCCTCTGAGATCGCACAATTCTGTCGTTCCAAATGTACGTCGGTTGACGTTCGACATAGGTGAGCAATAGGTGGTTCTGTGTAACTGGTGGGCGGCTGAAAGCATTCGACTGTACGCAGATGTGCAAAGCCATCGTAGCCACCTGAGAT